CATTCATCTCTATCCCAGCGCCTACCGGAAAGCCAGCACCGTAGAAGGCCCTCGGGAAGCTGCTGAATTAACTATGATCGTTAGGTTATATTTAGTGGGACGTCTCGGTAACAGTGGAAACAGGAGCAAACAGCACTCATACCACTTGCCAAGCAACCCTAAGTACTGGGGGTGCACTCTCTCATTTAATTCTCACAACTATTATGTCCACTTTACAAATGAGGAAACGGAGGCCTCGAACAGCTTAGTGATTGGCCCTAAATCTTACAACTATTAGCAGCAGTGCCGGGCTGTGAGCCCTGACACCGTCCCCCGGTATCTGCACACTCCGCTCTCTTTGCTTTACAGACGCTGTCACAGGACAGAGTTACATTTGGGGGGATGTGATCAGACCTGCAGGAAAACTGAAGGTACTGAAGAATGAGCCAGCCTGAATTAAACTCTAATAGCTTTAACCAATGTCTTTTCTAACATTTTCATAGGTGAACTGTTCTACTTGAACTAAAATGTGACAACAATCCTATTCTGAGAGGGCTTGAAACTCAGGACTATTTTTTCTCAGTGAGGGAACATACCTGTTCATATGTCTGTAATTTCTCCATGGATTCTAATCATTAAAGGACTTTGGTCCCTGAAAGAAAAGGGCCTCCCTCTCCTGGTCGCCTGCACCAGAAAAAAAACAAAACCTGCAGAAACAAGGGTCTACCTACCTGCAGCTGCTACTGCATCTGTGAGGTGGGGGTGGGTGGGGGAGCAGGAGGGTCTACAGCAGGCACCTTTGCCCTCCTTCCCGTGAGTTAGGATGGCAGAGGAGCACAGAGGATCCTAAATAATGCCCCCCAGTCTGCGCTGGAGGAAGACCAGGCCCTTCTCCAGCTGCCTCTCCCGGGCCTCGGGATCCTCTAGCTTCTGATTCTTCCGGAACTCACCGCGGATGGAGGCGAGATAGAAGTCCCGGTCGGTGTAGCGAAGCTCTCGGCCCTGGCGCAGCAGAGCCCGGTAGAGACTCAACACCGCCTCTCGGCTCCACGGGGCCATGGGGGACGGGCAGGTGCTGGGCGTCCAGCTACAGGCTGGAGGGAAAAACAGAAGCGCAGACTCGGAATGAATAACAGAAGGGCCTATAGAGACGACCTGAAAGTCAGAGTTCTTCATGCAGGTCTCAGACACCCCCAAGGCCACACTACAATTTAGGGACCGGGTTGGGCCTAGGCCCCAGCCTCTCACCCGCCTTCTGGGTAAGTCCAGTTGATGGGGCAGGGCCAGGGCTTGGAAGCTGAGCTGCCTGGTCTTGAATCCTCGCTCCGCCACTTACCACGTGGCTTTGGGCAAAGCACTTGACCCCTCTAAGCATTGTAAAGTGGAAATGCTAGTATGGTAACAGCAGCTGCTGCCTAGTTGAGAACTGTGTGAGATAAAACATGTAAAGCCCCTGTAATAGGTCACCATAGGGCTGGTCTAGACCGCCGGAAGGGCTCAGACACACAGGAATCCCGGCATCACCACTAGTGAGCTCATCACCTCCGGCAAGTTCCCTAACCCTCTGCCTTACCCGTTTCCCGCCCGTCAAATGAGGGTTAAAACGGGATTCTGCCCATTCGGCCGGTACGAGGATGAAGTGAGTTAGTGTGTGGAAACATGTTTGGAACAGCACTGGGCACGTACCGAGCCTCCATCTCCTGCGGACAGCGGTGACTGGTGCCCCCGGGCCTGGTGTGTGAGTGCTCAGTGAGCGGATCTAGTTCCCCACAAGCTGCCCCGTCCTCTTTCGGGAACGGGGTTCGCCTCTGTAAAGTGCTTTGTCACCCGTGATCCCATTTAGCTAAGGAACTATGGGGTGGTCGGGGATCGGATCGCTCCCTGTTCACAACGGATCTCACGTGCTCTAAGCATGTCCCACATCCCACTGTCACTGGCCCAGGCCCTCGTTCTCCCCACGTGACGGCGGGGAGCCTGCACCCTGACCCCGATTCTGGCCCCGGCGGGCAGCTCCCTCTGGCCGGGGCTCCACCGTGGGTGCGGCACCTCGGGGCGCTCAAGCTTCCCCGGCTCAGCGCCTGCCACACTCCAGGAGCCCAACACCAAGCGGATGAGAAGGGGACCGTCACAGCGCCCCTACGCGCAAGGAATGATCACCCCGTTTCACAGATAAAGTCATGAGACTGAGTGGGGGAGCCATTTGGTGAAAAGATCTGAACTTGGGGCCCCAAGTCCGCGAACATCAGCCTCTGGCCTTGAGGACGTGCCGCGCGAGCCTGAGCAATCCCTGACCAATCGCTTTCCTCGAATGTGGGCCCCCCACCCCCCCAGCCGCAAGGGCCTCGCCAGTGGGAGACGAACCCCGAAACCAACAGGAAAAGTGCTTTATGAGGTGGGAGACGACTGTCACGTAAGGCTGTGAGGACAGGGTCTCTCTGGGCGAGTGGGCGACCTCCGCCGACCCGAGCGGGGGGCCGGGG